AGAGAGAGAGAGAGAGAGAGAGAGAGAGAAGAGAGAGAAAGAGAGAGAGAGAGGGAAGGAGAGAGCATGAGGAGGGATGGCACGGAGCATATACCTGGACACAGCAGCCAGACCCCTGTCACCTATGGATGTACACGCTACATTCAGGTAAAGCAACTCTCTGCATCTCTCCACTATTAGTCTCAGAGCTTCACTCTGTAACACAGACAAAGGTATCGCTCTACAACAATTTTTTTTAACATTTCGCTGTTGTACAACACTACTATCCTAGACTAGACTATGTTAGATGTGCACGCTCAAGTAAATTTTGAATGAACGGTCAACGCGATTTGTTTACATTTAGCAAACTAGATACCTCACTTCGCATGGCTTGTTTGTGCTAAACGTGGCATAAATGGTAGTGTGACTGCAAACGTTAACGACTGGTTTTTGATAAGCGGGAATGCCATTTAAAAACCCTTACATATCATAACCTTACGATAAACTTATATACTTATATCATAACCTTTCTGTCGAAATCTACGTTCATACGAATATATTTTCCGGATTTTACTTACCTCGAGCTGCGGGCACTCGGAGAGGTTTAGATCCTGTAGTCCACGGCAGAGTGTCACCCATCCCAGACCGCCCTACAAGGGCCAGAAATCAACGATCTATCACGCGCGATGAAACCACAGTGTTAACCGGCATTCTATCACATGCAGGAGAGTCCATATTTCTGTCCACAGATACGATTGCATGGAGAGGGTGATGTAGCATCTGCCAGGTCAGGCTGAGAGGGAGAGAGAGAGAGAGAGAGAGAGAGAGAGAGGGAGAGAGAGAGAGAGCGAGAGAGAGAGAGAGCGAGAAAAAGGAGAATAAAGAGCAGGACATAAGAACCACAAATGCCTGAACTTACCCTGAACCAGAGGAGCCCACTAGATGTCAGCACCTTCCATGCTCGGCAGACGAGCGAGCAGCGACATCGATCATAAGCACTTAGTTCCCCGAGGATCTACGAAGACACAGACGTCGAACCAGACAGTGCAGCCGACACAGCAGCAGCACGAAGATAGTTATGAGATGACCTCTCAACAAAAGGTGGGGACCTATGAGACGATCCCTCAACAATGAGAGAGGTATGAAATGATTCACCAGCAAAGGAGAGAAAGACGATGTGTGAGTTCTCTTGGAAGACAAATTTCTCTAATATTGAAAGCAGCACCTACCAGGACCGTTCACGAACACTGCTCACAAGCACTCAGTGTTCACGAACACTCACTGACCGTTCACGAATACTCACTGCTCACGAACACTCAGTGTTCACGAACACTGACTGCTCACGAACACTCACTGCTCACGAACACTGACTGCTCACAAACACTCACTGCTCACGAACACTCCCTGCTCACGAACACTCACTGTTCACAAGCACTCAGTGTTCACGAACACTCACTGCTCACGAACACTCACTGCTCACAAGCACTCAGTGTTCACGAACAGCACTGACCGTTCACGAACACTCACCCGCAGAGCCACCGTCGTGGGCAGAGCAGACACGCGGTCTGTCTGAGGGGAGTCGACTTTGCCGGGGTCCTGGAAGCCTCCTCCAGTCTTCTCCTCGGAGTGCCTCAATGCCTCCTCCATCGCCAGTACCTCCTCCGCCTCCACCCTCTGCAAACACATTCGGCGTGACCCACTGGTGGGGTGGGGTGGGGGTGGGGGGGGGGGGGTAACCGTGTCTATTTAATACGGGTCGGTGTCGAGCTAGATGGAAATTAAACCACCTGGCTTTAAAAGTTCAACCTAAGTTCAGTTCAGTTCAGTTAAGTTCTTCACCTCAAGTTCCGTCTGAGCCAAGCGGTGACAGCTGGCGACAGCGCGCCACTTTCGCAGCACCTTTCCCAGCGTCAGCGTTCTCCCCACGTCCACCAGAATTCCGACGGCAACTGCAATCGACAAGACAAAGTACCCTGTACCCACTCGAGGGTCACTCGAGAGAAATGCCAAGCCAAAATTGTCCTCTATAGACAAGTGATCATTCTGTATAGTTGGTTTCACTTTCTAATTGGAACATTATATTACATTAGGTGTCATTTATAGACAGGTGTCCTTTA